ACGAATAAAAGGCCACACTGTTTGATAAATTAAACCTTTTTCGTATTAATAAGGTTTGTTCAGGTTGCTCAGAGAGTTCCTCTTTGCCTGATTTGTTCGCTTTCTGCTGGTGTGACCACTTTTGGAGAGAAAAAAATACTCCCACCAAGATAAGGGTTGTAATGTGTATCTTTCCAATACGTCGAACGGCTTTTGCCCGACATTCTTTCAGCTTAACCATCCAATAGTTTTTATTTCCAGTACTATATTGAGGGGGGGACCAATGTTAATAACACACAATAGTGTGTTGTTGGGTGCAACAGTTTAAAACTTGTGGTTAGATTAATCACCTGAATCTGGTGCTCTTTGATATATCGGCTAGATTTCAGACCGACTGATCACACTCAATTTTTGTAACAAGTTACCTGTCACCAATATAACAAGTCACTCTAAAATCATTTGGTCGCACAAATTAACATAGGTGTTCCAAGTCGCACAAAAGATATTACGTTGTGATTATCTTTGGTGTGAATCAACGTTTGCGCAACTGCTAGTGGGAGTGCGTGTTTTACTACTAATTTTTAGGCTTCCTAGCTATTTCTACCAAATGTAGACTAGGTGTTTCTGGTAACAAAACCTTTCAAGTATAATAATACTCATGTTATACTGTCTCTATAAGTCTACTAATAGTCAAATTCATTACCTTTAGTTGTACGTTTAAATAAACATAGTTATGATGCTGGAGAAACGGAAAACAAAAGAGAAGCTTAAAGTGAAGTGTGTCTGTTCTTTTTCAATCCATGAATTTGTAAATAATGAAACAATAACAACACTTCTCGTGTAATCATGATTAATTGTTGATTATAATATTAATGACGCACGAGTGTAGGTAGGGCTCTTCTAACCGCGAGGCTAATTAGGATTATATCAATAGACTTTGCTTTAGACAAGATTCCCTGATTTCTTCCATTGATATTGCTTCATGTTATCATTCTTATTGTCATACTTGAATTTGAAAATCAAAAATTAATATTGATGGTGTGACATTAATCATTATAAGCAACCTGCAGGTCTTGCGTAGGACTGGTAACTTTTTATTAACCATAATGCGAGTTTTTTTTTAGTTACCTTTAAGGTAGAGGGGTGACTTTTATGTGATTTAAGATAATATTTGTGAAATTTGGGTGACATTTACAAATATACTCGTTGTATGCTTGTATGTAAACCCGACCTGACAAAATTGTAAATTGTTTTTTTTTTAATGACCAAGGGTAAATGACAAATGACCCATTTGAAACTGTACTAATTAACTAATAACCCGAATATGACCTTAATCAAACCCGATTCCAATTATCCATTTGCTGATATTAGTTATATGGAAGGTTTTTCAAATCATTATATTCCTATCTGAATTATTTTTTTCCTGTATTATTAGGAACATCATAACTAGAGCTTAGAGAAAAATGCATATGCACCAATTATTTTTATTAAATAACATTTTCAGCTACTGATATTACTAATTAAGTTCTGATGACAGTTATAAGTAATGTACTTTTTAATGTTGTGGCTATAAGTATCCTCATTTGTAGTAAGTGGTGACTAAATTGCTTTTAATAATCTGACAGCAAAGATTTTCTTATATTAATTGTGAAAATTCTTTCTAAGGGTCCAATTCGATTATTAAAATCGCGCTATATCCTTCAGGGGACCTAAACTTTTTCATGCACAAACCATTAATCTAATGGTGTATTGTCTGCCACTGTCATATCTTTCCTTGAACAAACTAGTTGGCAACTTCCATACAATGCTCACTTCTGTCTGCTATCACAAACTTTCTGAAGCCACAATAAAACTGCAGTCCACTCGAATTTTTTGAAGAGAACTGAGAATTTTCAAGGAATTTCAACAAATATGTCAGGCTCTTTGTTGCAGAGTTGCTTCATCATCAGCTTACTTCTTTCTTTCTCTGTCATCTCTGAGTCATCGAGATTGCTGCCAAAGGCAATCTTTGATCAGATGCTTCCTAAAAGATTTCCTTTCCATTCTTCGGCTCCTTCAAAAGGGAAAAATTCTGTAAATACTTTGTCATCCTCAATGGCACAAACTCGGAAAATTATGCCTTCTTCTGATGGAAAGGTTTAGTCAAGGGGAAAAGAGAAGGTGTTTTCGCCTTCTATACACCCCAGCAAGAAAGTAACGCGCTTCTAAGCTGGGTTTAACACAGGAATGTAGGTTCTTGTAGATTTTTTTATCAACTTGATCACAGAAATCTCTCAATTGTAAAGATTTAATTTACTGAATAGAGTAGTTAGTCATTGATTACATTATAGGCTCTTTGCTTTTCTGGATAAATGATCTAATTTAGCAGGAGTCATATACAAGGTTAGATTTTTTTTGCCATGAGGGCCATTAACATCTTCCATTTAAATCCCATAAATATGTATATTGTTGAATTTTTCATATACATGGCAAATTTAATAAAAAGTTTGCTCATTCTATTCTATGAGCTTTCCAATGCTTGGGATGTCTTTCATCTTTCTAATTCTCTTTTGAAATTCCTTTTCCCTTAGAATATTTGTTTTAAAATGATCAATCCCTCATCTTTTCACTTCTTTTCAGTTTTCTGAGGCGTAAATCACTTCTAGTTCTCTTTTGAAATTCCTTTTCCCTTAGAATATTTGTTTTAAAATGATCAATCCCTCATCTTTTCACTTCTTTTCAGTTTTCTGAGGCGTAAATCATCATTGCTCCCGTTTGTAATGCTCTTTTGCAGACTAGAAGCAATTTCCTACAAGTTGAAAGGCAATTTTATAATCAAATCAGTGAACCACTCTTAACCATTAATACAATATAAGCTGATGGGTGTGAGATGTCAGAACTCAGAAGTACGTGATCTTATGAACAAAAAAGGCTTTCTGTTATCTGTTTATACTTTATAATTCGTGTATGTTTGTAGTTGAAATAATTTACTGTAAAGATCGATGTATTTTCTCCAAAGGTTCTACATAGGGTCGCACCATTGGTCCATGGTACACAACTTGTATTCGATTTCAGGAATCAGCTCTGAAGAACTAAAATCCAAGGCCATTGAAGTGTTTTTACCACACAGGAAAACATATTTTGGTTTAGAAGTTTCTGTGCATATTGTTCAGACTAAAATGTGCCTCTGATACACATATGTCAAAATACTGGCAGTTTCAGCCACGCTTTGTCCTGCATTCAAAGCAGTCAGTAGCTTCCTTAAATCCCTATGCTCTTGCTCTCATAAACGTCGGCTGGTATGTTAATAATTGAAGCTTATAAATAATCTTATCTTGCAGTAGGACCTTCCTGCAATCTGACTGTCTGCTGCTGGCTAGTTCAATATCCCAGCACTATACTCGGAAGCTAAATTCAACTGATATGATGCTTCAATTTTTACTCACATATCATAAAGATTCCAGATTATAGAATATCCCGGTACAAGTTAAAAATTTCAGATTCAGAAAAGTGTTCTTTCATAACTATCCTTGTAACTTTTCTCAAAAAACAACTATGAAAGGTTACATGCTGAATCATGCATATTAGACAGTTGATAGGTGAATCCTTATCATCTGAACTTTAGGCAAGTTCAAGCATCTTTTTAGTCAAATAGGCTCGTCGCTTTTCTTATGCTTCTGACAAAATTCTTATGAAGATGGACTATATTAGGATCAGCCACTTATCAGTATATCTGATCAAATTTTTACACTCGGAATTCTAACAGAGTTCCCCAGGACTGAAATCAACCCATCCAGCATACAATTATGCTGCGCACTGAGGGAAGTTGCTCTCTTATTATGACCTGATAATCTCAGTAAAACTGTAAATAATGTTCCATTATCTTTGCTCCCATACCTTTCCAAGAACCTCCAATCGCTCACGCATACACTTACAAACACATAGACACGTATGTGCACGCACACAATGGAATCGGTTATGAAAGATATATTATGAAAAAATTCACTAAATCACCTTTCATTTTTCTATATTTATTGCATAACCTAGGAAAAATTGCAGAAGAATATTGCAACCTTATAAAGTTAGTTTCCTTCCTTAGGATAACCGAGGCAAATTTCATCTTATTTTGACAAGGAGAGAGTCACAAGTTCCATGATCAAAGTTTACTCATTTACACTTCTTAGCTTGAACTTGCAAAAGCAATCCCTTGAGTAGTTCTTACCTTTCTTGCTCCTTTGCTTTGACCCAAGTAAATTATTACATTCATTTGTAAAAAAAAAATATTGTGAAGATGATGAGATGTGTACGACTGCATGATGCATTTAATTGATTTCATGTTATGTAGGATCATCCTCTATGGATTCTATAGAGTCGGCTCTTTTCAATTAGACTAATTTTCATTAACCTTTAAGTTTGTTTATTCACTTTAAGATTGTAAGTTTTAAAAATGAACATGATTTGTGTACAAATATGGTTAAATTTAATTATTTAAGGTCATTCAGCGTACATTACATGAATTAAAACCTAAAAGTGATATCAAACATGCTCCAAAATAGCGAAATTTTGAAATCCATAAGTCATGCCAACATCACTATTATCTATAATTAGGCCGAACTTCACAAGTTTCACTAGCTAGAGATAAATGATCCTATGGTATGTTTGTAATTACAATTTTCTTCAGTTCATTAATGCCTTGATTATTCCAAAATCATCTTCCTCCCATCCTTGTTAAAAAACAAAAAAAATCGTTGAAAATTCAGGATTACAAAACATAAATTCAAAAACGGTACACAAACTTTAATGGATCACACATAAGCCCAATACTTTTCCAATTAAACCAAAAACCCATATACAAAGTCCAACCCCTTCCATTTCTTCAAACTTCCATTCCTTGAATTCTTGGTGCCCAAGTATCAAGTTATCAACAATTCAACACATGTCACATACTAAAATTTTCTTTTCTTTTTTTTTTTTTCAAAAAAAAAACAGAAAATGACAGGAACCTTCCTCAAAACAATATTCCCATTTTAATTTTTCCTTAATCAATAAGAGAGTAAAAAAAAAAAAAATCAAAATTAAACCGACTCAAAAAAACGTGGCCTCCAAGCTTAAACACACTCACAAATCCCTATAAAAATTCCCATTCACTCCAAACTCTCACACCTCATCAAAAAAATGGCCCCATCATTTCTCACCGGCCCACCACTCCGCCAAACTCCCCCACCCTCCTCCACCGCAACCACCGCCGCAGATGGCGGCTCCGGCGACCCATTCGTCGATGCAATGGTGGCAAACTTCAACAACATAAATCAACCACCACAACATCCGCCATTAATGGGGTTTACCGAGAACTTCTCCGCCACCTTCCTCAGTTCCGGCAACCCATGTCTTGACCTATTCTTCCATGTGGTCCCCGGCACACCGGCCGATTCGTTGACTCAACGGCTCGATCTTGCTTGGGCCCACAACCCGTTGACCACCCTTAAACTTATCTGTAATCTTCGTGGTGTTCGAGGTACTGGAAAATCTGACAAAAATGGGTTTTACACTGCTGCGTTTTGGCTCCATAAAAATCATCCCAAAACTCTTGCGTGTAATCTCCCTAGTTTTGCTGATTTTGGGTATTTCAAGGATTTTCCTGAGATTTTGTTTCGGGTTCTGGGTTTGACTCATGTGCCCAAGATGAAGAAACGGGTTAAAAATGACCCGTTTGAGAATCGCCGGAGGTTTAAGAATCCGGGGAAGAAGGGTGATAAGAAGATGAAGAAGATGGTGAAATCTCTGAGTTCGATGAGTTCGAAGGAGAAGCAGGAGAGAGAAAAGCAGGTTGCCGGTGAACTTCGCCTTAAGAAGAAGTCAGAAATGGCGAAAACTGCGATTGAACGGTATACCCGTGACCCGGATTACCGGTTTCTTCATGATCGAGTTTCGGATCTTTTTTCGGGTTGTTTGATTTCTGATTTGGAGATGTTTAATAGTGGAAAGCTTGATAAGATTAGCCTCGCGGCTAAGTGGTGTCCGTCCTTAGACTCGTCTTTCGACCGCGCTACCTTGATCGTTGAAGCCATTGCTAAGAAGGTGTTCCCAAGGGAGAAGTATAAGGAGTATGAGGGTGTGGAGGAGGCGCATTACGCTTACCGGGTTCGAGACCGGCTTCGGAAGGACGTGTTAGTGCCACTGCGCCGTGCATTGGAGCTTCCGGAGGTGTTTATGGCGGCGAGGAAGTGGAATGAGTTGCCTTACAATAGGGTTGCTTCGGTTGCAATGAAGACTTATAAAGAGCATTTTCTTAAACATGATGAGGAAAGGTTTAAGGATTATTTGGAGAAGGTTAAGTCTGGTAAGGCGAAGATTGCTGCTGGTGCATTGCTTCCTCATGAGATAGTTTCGGCATTGGAGGACGGAGATGGCGGTGAGGTTGCGGAGCTTCAATGGAAGAGAATGGTAGAGGATTTGTCTAAGGAAGGGAAATTGAGTAATTGTCTTGCTGTTTGTGACGTTTCGGGTTCGATGCACGGGACTCCGATGGAGGTCTGTGTTGCTCTTGGGCTGCTGTTATCTGAGTTGTCTGAGGAGCCGTGGAAAGGGAAGGTGATCACGTTTAGTGCAAACCCTCAACTTCATGTGATTCAAGGGAGTGACCTGAAATCGAAGATTGAGTTTATTGAAAAGATGGATTGGGGGATGAATACTAATTTTCAGAAGGTGTTTGATTTGATCCTGAGTGTTGCAGTGCAGGGTAAACTTCCTGAGGATAAGATGATTAAAAGGGTGTTTGTGTTTAGTGATATGGAGTTTGATCAAGCATCAAGTCACCCGTGGGAGACTGACTATATGGTGATTAAGAGGAAGTATGAGCAGAATGGGTATGGTAATGCTGTGCCGGAGATTGTGTTCTGGAATCTTCGAGACTCGAGGTCGACACCAGTGGCAAAGAACCAGCTAGGGGTAGCGTTGGTGAGTGGGTTTTCGAAGAATATGATGAAGTTGTTCTTGGATGGAAAGGAGGATCAGCTTAGCCCTGAGGCTGTTATGGAGGCTGCTATCTCTGGGGAAGAGTATAATAAGCTTGTTGTTTTGGACTGATAATCAAGTTTTATGGAAGTAATTTTGTTATAGCATAAGTAATATATAGCAGTATTAACCTGTAAATTTTGGTACAGTTTTCAATGAAATATGGTTAATACAGAATAACTGTAGTACATTTTACCAAGCGAGGTGCTATAATTTGTCAATAGAGTAATGCTATTTGGATACTGTAAGTCTCTGCTTTGCATCTTTAATTCAGCCTGCTGATTAAATTGGTGCTAGCTGATGACACTTACAGGATTCATGCTCTTAATAGCTTCTGCACTGCTTGGATATGTGATTGTTTAGTGTATAAATTCTTTGCTCAAGTCTTATATCTTCTGATCAACATAGAAGGTTGAATATAGTTTTCCCCTTTTCTGTCGTGGTCTGATGAATGCTGCAATGACGCTTTCTGTGATGCTGATAGAGCAAAGAAAAGATGTGTTGTGCTGCTTGCATTGCAATTCTGTGGCTCATTTGCTCGTATATTGCTGCATCTCTATGCATATCATATACGAAGTACATTGAGTAGTTTATTAGCACCTCATTTTAGTACTCTTGTAATCTATTGAAGAAGAAAACCGTGTTGGTGTTGTATTTCAAGAAATTGGTATGTTTAATAGGTGTCAGCAGGTCCCCAACCGGAGATGTAGATACCGAGGCCACCTTCACAACATTCTTGATCAATTAGTCGTTACTCGTTAGTGTATATGAAATGTGATGGTTGACAGCAAACTGACTCCTTTGTAGTATCATATAAAATCATCAACGATTATGTTCAATGTGCCTGTGTGAGAAGTCTGAGGACCACTGGCAAAATTTATCATTAGATGATCATCTAATGATATGCATTAGAATTTTTTGTTACAATTTATGGAATCATTGATTTCTTAATGCTTAGTTGCATACATGTAATCTATGTGAATGTATTGATTTTGTATGGCATGCATTGGTTAAATTGCTTACAACAGGGTCTATATATTTGTATTGTTATTGTTACTGTCAGTAATTATCTTTAAATTTTGCTGCTTATTAGGTGCTAATCTGATGAATAATGGGCTCAAATATTTGTAGCATCAATACCATAAGTGCCATAATCTATTTTTCAAAGTTACAATAGCAAAGCACTAGTATACATCTTCTAATGCGGTAATGCCTTGTGTTTGATATTACCTGCGTTGTGCTTCCTTTGCTTGTCAGACATACTTCCTAATCTCTTATGGTGCATCATGCATACAATTTTCATGTGAACCAAACAAACACGCACCATAAATAAAGACTTGTTTAGTTGATAGGCATGAATATAATTATCAATTAAGATAAATTCAAGGAAAAATTAAAAATAATAATCCCAACTTTCACGTATTTTGTTTCAATAATCCCAACTTTGGATTATTTTGGAATAATCCAAACTTTGGGGATTGTTGATTTTTCAATCCCTAACCAGTCAACAAACAATGACCTATTATATCAGGTCACTTGACACGTGTCAAGTCTTAATTGGTCCAAAAAAAAAAAAAACAAAAATCACAAAACCACCACTCAGCCACCCCTTCACCCACCGGCACACCCTAACCTCCACCGCACTGCCAGCCTGCCACCCCTCCCTCGCCGGCCCGCCGCTCTTCCATCCCCCACCCCATGGCGTCGCCGTTTTCTTCCCTCCCCGAAACACCCTCCCATTCCCCCACGAAACCACCAATGAAACCCCTCGCCACTGCCAAAAACCCCAAATCGTTCCTCCCACCATCCCAAAACCCTAGCGGCTAGGGTTTTCGATGGTGGGGGAGGAGTTTTTGGGGGTTTTCGGGAGTGAGGGAGGTGGTTTTAAGGGATTTTTGAGTGGTTTGGGGGTTTTCGGGATTTGGGGTGGTGGTTTAAAGGGAGTTTCGAGTAGTGGTGGTGGCTGGAGCACGGTTGACGGTTGTGGTCGCTTGCGAAAAGGGAGATTTCGTGGCTGGTGGCCGGGTTTCGTGGCTAGCCGGATTTCGTGGCTGGTGCCCGACGTCAAGGGTTTGGGTGTTTTTTTTTTTATTTTTTATAATTTTTTTAACCAATTAACTTGTGACACGTATCACTTTTTTTAAAAAAAAAATTAACCCATTCAACCGATTACCGATTTTTGGGATTGAAGAAAATCAACTACCCCCAAAATTCGAATTATTCCATAATAATACAAAATTGGGATTATTAAAACAAAATACTTAAAAGTTGGGATTATTATTTCTAATTTTTTCTAAATTCAATAAATCCATATGAACATAAGATGGTATTTCACTATGTACTAGCGGTGAAAAATTATATTGAAAATTAGCAATTTTTGACCAATAAAATTACAAAGTCACAAAGTGTGAAAAAACAAAGAGAAATTTTATTATTTAAAAATAAATAAATAAATAAATAAATAAATAAAAAGAGAGAGAGAGATTGGATAGAAGAGTTGCGGAACCAAATTTAATATCCCACCAATTAAATGCTTGTGTTAGTCCCTTTCAAGGCTTTCACTTCTCTTCAACCACTAATCTATCATGAATACAGTATCAAAAAAAGAAATGATATTGATAGGTTAATGATTTGAACGATAATGACAAAGACGTGTGCTTAATTAAATAAGCTTAGCTCGGCTTTAATCATATTGTCAATGGTTATGATTTGATAATTAGGCTTTAATCATTTTCTTATTGCTCGCGACATGTTAGTAGTCAGTCATTCTCACTTCTCTTACATTAGACTTTGGCTATTGATTTAAGATTTCGGCATTGACTTAGCTTCCATGTGCCTATTATGTGATTCATCAGGCACTAATCTACCACATCATGATGGTTACTAAGACCATGTAAGATAATATAGGTATTCCTTTGCTTATTTTCATATTAACAAGGGTTAGTGGAAAAAGAACATGTTACAATATCAATTTAAGGTTGAGGGTTAAATTTTTATTAGCGAGACTGTGAGGAAGAGAATATATTTATCCTATCGGGACTTTGAGGAAGAGTATATCTTTATCCTTTGCATCCATCCCAAAATATCTAGTCTACTAATCATTTTTAGTAAAATTCCCTCATACTATTTCTTCTTGGGAGATATTAATGTTATTTGTATTTATTTATTAGAGATTCAAAAAATGAGTGAATGGGTACGGATTAATAATTTTTGTGATGAGTAAAGCTGTCATACTCATGTACATTTATAATATGGGACTATTTTATAGAAATGACTTTAAAAGAAAAATATGTCAAACTTTAAAGATAAATGGAATTTGACTCATTTTATAAAAATTGTACCGAGTAATATTTTAGGGACAGTTTATAGCTACAATGAAATTGCGAATGGTATGAATGGTATTCTTTCCTAGGGAGGGTTTTTTGGTACCCTCTAAGATTTCTCCCTTGGGAGGGTTTTTTTTAGCCTCCATTGCTAGATTTTTTTTTTTTTTGTTTTTTTTGAAGGTTTTCCTTCACTCTTCTCCTTTTCTCTCTTTCTCTATCATCTCTTTTCTTTTGGTCTCAATTATAAATTTTTGTAGGGGCTTCCATCGGTGTTTTTACCAATGGTAAGCCCCAAATAACTTTTTAATTGATTTCAATAAATGGATCTCATCTTTATGATGGTGTTTATTCTGTTAGGCTTAATTTTTTTGTTTGTTCGTTTGTCAATGAATGAAGATTTAGGGTTTCCATAATCTCCGGAAGTATCTAGAAGGCCATATGAGTTTTTTCACCCCAAACAACTATTCGTCCGTGGATCTCAAGCCGAATTAGTGCTAACTCAAATATTATATTGCTTCAGATGACGTTTTTTTATTAAGGCGATCGTTTATCGAATCTGCGATATAACTAGTTCTAAAGTGATTTGTGCTTTTGTTGGAATTTTAGATTTCCTAGGAATTGTTTGTAAGTGCCGTTTGGCTATCTTTCATTGATGAAATTATTTTTCTTCTTGTAAAAAAAAAAAATTAAAATAAAAATTGTGGCCACTATAATTGAGTGAAAATCTCAACCCTCCAATTAACAAGCTAAGACTCAACTTATTCTTTTATTTAATTGAATTTGTTTTTTTTAAAAAAAAAAAAAAAAAAAAAAAAAAAAAAAAAAAAAAAAAAAAAAAACATGTAAAACCAGTAAATTCTCCACTTTAATTCGAAAACATTTATTGAAGGAGGAGTTTTTAACTTCTTTATCTTTATTTTAATATGATTGATTACTTGAAAATTAATTAAAAATACTCTAATCACGCAATAATAAAGTGTCAGACATTAAAGATCACATACAAACACATATGTGTGATGGTCTGATGAACATTTACTAAATATGTTTGACCTTTAGAATTGCAGATATGGTGACTAGCATCCTTATTTATTTTATTTACAGATCAACGGGAAAAAAATGGGAAATCGGCCATTTTTTAATCATAAGTATACATGAAAGCAGTTTTTTTTTTTAATAAAAATATAAATAAATAAATAAATAATTAAAAAAAAAAGTTAAGAAAATTGGATAAATGGACAAGATTGATCCATAAAAATAAAGTGTCAAAATTAAAATTAATTATAATGACTACAATTTTATTGTAGTCATTGAAAAGTCTTCCATATTTTAAAGACGGTGTAAAAAAATCCATATTTTAAAGACGGTGTAAAAAAGAAAAGAAAATGGATCAAACTTTAAGTGCCGGATGGAGCATGACTCATGACCCATCTCCTTGAGTTATTACATGCACATTACTACAAACACCACCATTTTCATTTTTGCTGACTTCACACACTCCTAATTGTAAAAAAATGGCTCCATGTCTTACAGGCCCATCACACATTCACACCTCCAAACTCAACCACCACCACCGTTAACACCACCACAACTAACGATTCATTCGACGATCCCATGGTAGATAATCTCAACAACGTAACCCAACTCTCCACCTCCAATGATGGGGCACCGCACCAAGAACTCCTCCGCCACCTTCCTCACCTCCGGAACCATGCATGTCTAGACTTATTCTGCTTCGTTCAACATGCATCTACAGTCAATGGTTTGTTATAACAGATGCCTAATTAATTGAACAAGCTAAGTCAACAGTCATTTCCGACTTCTGATCTTAGGCATGTCAATTGGCCATTTCTGCTCATTCTTAGCTAAGGCATGTCAATTGTTTGTTTCTGTTAACTGACTTGTTTTGCTTACTGACTTGTTGACCATAATTGACTATTTAACAACTTAGTCAAATAATTTTCTTTTTTTTTTTTTGTTTGTTTGTTTGTTGAAGTAGTCCAATAATTGTTACAGACTTACAACAATATTGCCTCACTTATTTTTGTAAGTGCCCC